GTTATTGGAATTCCTAATCTGTCTTGATAACATGATTCTAAATCTGTCTTGGTAACAGGTTATTAGAATTCCTAATCTGTTTTATTTTTTGTTTTAGAATTCCTAATATGTTTTTGGTTTTAGGATTTCTATATACGATTGGAAGAGAGAATTGAGCAGCGAATTGGGGATATTTGGAGCACAGAAAAGATGTATTTTCTGAGCTATTAGTTAAGGTTTTATTAGGAGAGAATTAGAGATTTGTTGGTGAGATTAATTGGTGAGTTCGAGTGACTTGTAATCTCAGTTTGTACTCTTCTTCTCTATTAGTAAAAATCTCATCTCCTTCTTGCCCCGTGGATATAGGCAACTTGCCGAACCACGTTAAAATTGGTTGTTTGTATTCGTGCCGTTATTTTGAATTGTTTGTGGCCTTCTCTCTCGGCGATTGGCTTGGTTTCTCAAAGCACATTGGTTGTTTGGCTTCCGCCGCGCATAACAAGTAGTATCAGAACTCGGGCTATGCTTGGGCTATTTGAAGGAGTAGATCCTTTTAGAGGCTCGTCTAGGGCTTCGTTTGGTAATAAATGTGTGATCTTTTTGGTAAAGACTATCTTTTTCAATTTTGGATCTATTCTTCGTTTGTTCCGCTTTGATTTTTTGATGCTTTGAGAAAGATGGTCAAGAAAGGAGTTGTGGAGGGTACTTCTGACGTAAAGACCGTCCAAAGTTTAAATATCCCCTCTATAAAAATAGATGTGGAGAAGTTTAATGTCACAAACAATTTTGATCTTTGGAGATATGAAGTCTTGGATGCGCTCAATGCGCAAAATTTAGAGGATACTTTGGAGTTGGACGTAAAACCGGACGACATTGAGGAGAATGTTTGGAAAAAGATGAATCGAACGGCATGCGATGTGATTAGATCTTGTTTAACTCAAGATTTAAAATATGATGTGATCAATGAGACTTCGGCTAAAAAGATTTAGGAGATCCTAGAGGGCAAGTATTTGACAAAGAGTGTAGAAAACCACTTGTATTTGAAGAGGAGGCTTTATCGCTTCCAATTGAAGAAAAGAACCTCCATTGGTGATCACATAAACTACTACACGAAGCTTCTTACGGATTTGACGAATGTAGATGTGATGATTGAAGATGAGGACAAGACGTTGTTATTATTGAATTCTTTGCCCGACGAGATATATGAGACATTCGTTCTTACTCTTATTAATGAGAAGGCATCTCTTTCGTATAGTGAGGTCACCGCTACACTTGTGAATTATCAGCTTCGAAAAAAGGATAAGGAGATTTCAGTTGAGCCGGTAGCGGGGTATTAGTTACAAGAGAAAAGAGTCCAAACCGAAATAGAAAGTCGTAGTCTAGAGGGGCACATTCTGGAGTTCGTAGGAATCAATGTGTCTTTTATAAAAAGGATGGACATTGGAAAACCGAATACCCAAAATTGGTTGTTCGAGCCGGAAAGAATAAAAGGAAAGCTATTCAAACTTCAGAAGTTCATGTTGTCAAGGCTAGTGGTGACAATTCAGATTCGAATTCTTTGGGCTATTCATTAGCACTACCATCAGTTTGTGTTGCCGACTCTATAGAGAATATTGAATTCGAGTGCTTCTTACAATATTTATCCTAAGAGGGATTGGTTCTCTAGCTTTTAGGAGTTAGAAAGAGGGGATGTCGTGCGCATGAGTAATGATCATGAATGGCCTATTGGTGGTATCAGTACCGTTCGTATTAGGATTTGTGACGAAGTAATTCAGGAGTTGGATAAAATAAGGTTTGTTCCTCAATTGAAGAAGAACATCATTTCATTTGAAGTTTTAGAGGCAGCAGGCTATAGGGTGACCTTAGAGGATGGATGTTTGAAGGTTACATTTGGGTCCATGATTGTGATGAAAGACGTCAGGAGGAAGAATTTATACTATTTGATTGGGAGCAAGGTGATTGGTAGAGAACTGACGACTTCTTTGGATTTGGCTAGACTGTGGTATTTGTTGAGGCTGGAATATTTGATTGGTTATACCGTGCATGGTTTGTTGAGGAGCGCTTTGACCTGCAGATTGAAATCCTTTGAGCATATTGGTATGAGCAAGAAGACCGGGGTGGAGTTTGGCACTTCTATTCATCGATCGAGGGATCTTTTAGGTGGTGTTCATTCAGGCATTTGGGGGCCTTCCAAAGAGGCATCGTTGGGAGATAATAAGTATTTGGTTTCCGTAGTTGGGGACTGTTCTAGGTATTGATGGGTTACAACCAAGTCCTGTTGGTTTAAAGTCCTAAAAATTAACAACAGATGGAGGAACTGTGTTGGTAGAAAGGTAACCCGTCATTTTATTTTTGGTAGGGGTTCTTTCTTGCATTTGTGCCGAGCTCACGACAGTTTGAGACACTTCATTGTAGAGGAAACATTGGGGCGACGAGATGAGATGACAGTTTTGATGGATCGTTCCTTACTGTAGGAGGGTCGACGTTTGTTGTCGAGCATTGGGTTACAGAAGAGTTTTGGAACTGTGACATATTTGGGTCATCTTAGTCATAGGTTACCGACTACTGCGTTTGGAGTTATTGGATCTGGTAGAGTTGCTTCAGATTTTAGGTTGCGTCGGATGTTTAGTTACCCAGCATTTGGTCACATCGAGGATGTGAGATTTGATCCGATTGTACATTTGGGATTCAGAAGCTTGTTTTGTTATCAATTAGGAGACTCTGATTTTGTTCTGAGCAGGTATGTCATATTTGACTCTCACCAGGTGGAGGGTATTGATCAGATCATTGGAATATCGTAGCAGCTGGAGGATGATGCTACTCCACATTGGGTGGAGATTACTTTACATACTCCAGATCATACTGCATCGTTTGAGATTTGAGCTGAGGTGACACAGTTTGGGGATCATTTGGTTTTGAATGCAGATGATGAGTTGGTTTTGGATTCGAGTGCAGCTAGTGGACATAGTTTCGATTTGGTTATGGCCATTGGTTCATCTCATGTGGAGGTGTTTAGTTTATTTCACTTTGGGGCCATTAAGAGTTCTATCAGCCACAGATTTGTTGATGATGTTAGAGAAGGATTGCGAACTCTTCTATTTGATCGAGGGCCTTTGGAGGCCATTTGGTAAACTACGTGAAGGCTTAATTCCTTAGGCAAGAGGATACGTAGGTAGTCATTTATGATGCAGCCGGTTTGGTGAGTTGATACCGATATTTATAGTTTATTCGCATTCTCATTTGGATTCTCGACTTGTTGTGGATTGAGTCTATTACTGTGGATTTGTTCCACTTCATACTGGACGCAACAAGTGAGACGTTTGATTGGTATTGGTGTCGACTCAGTTTTAAAAAGAACTTCGCCGAGGTAAAGAATTATTGGATAGCAGGTTCCTAATATGTTTCCTATTTTGTTTTGGTAACAGGTTAATAGGATTCCTAATCTGTTTTGGTAACAGGATTCCAAATCTATTTTGGTAACATGTTATTAGGATTCCTTATCTGTTTTGTTTTTTGTTTTAGAATTCGTAGCATGTTTTTGGTTTTAAGATTTATATATATATGGAACGATTAGAAGAGAGAATTGAGCAGCGAATTGAGGATATTTGGAGTACAGAAAAGTTGTATTTTTTGAACTATTGGTTAGGGTTTTATTTGGAGAGAATTAGAGATTTGTTGGTGAGATTAATTGGTGAGCTCGAGTGATTTGTAATCTCAGTTTGTACTCTTCTTCTCTATTAGTGAAAACCCCATCCCCTTCTTACCCCGTGGACATAGACAACTTGCCGAACCACGTTAAAATTGGTTGTTTGTGTTCGTGCCGTTATTTTGAATTATTTGTGGCCTTCTCTCTCGGCGATTGGTTTTGTTTCTCGAAGCACATCGGTTGTTTGGCTTCCGCCGCACACAACAGTGGACAACTAAATACAAAAGATGTCTACACAAAAGTAGATGAATAGAAAAAATGAATGTAGACAGAGAGACAGAGCGAACACCCAATGGTTTAACATGGGTTTAACATGGTTCAGTGAGTATTCTTTGCTATACCTGCACAAAGAGACAATACAGGAGGAATTCCCCAATCATATTAGGAGATTACAACAAAGAGATCACTCTATCGTATCAATCACCAAAACCCACAATGAATAACCAAACGATGAAGATATGAGAATAATATACTTCACTTCTCAAGATATCTCTTTCTCTTTTCCTCACTTCACGTGCTTCTTCCCCAGCCTTCACCCTCCTTTTATAAAGAACATGTTCTAATGTAAATTAGACAAGTGCTAAGCATAACAGCGGGGCTAATAGTTGGTGAAATAGTTGGGCTAAATATGAATTCATACAAGGTAAGTGTGAATAATAAGTGTTAGAATTAATATAAAACTATAATCCTTAATCTTCACCATAACTTTGGATTTTTGGTGTAATGGTTAGAGGGACTAAATCTAAGATGGGGTTCAAATCCCATCAGCCACAAATTTAAAGCGGGTTTTCTAAAAATTAACACCGTTGCGTGAGACCAGATTTCAACCCATAAAAAAAGGGCGCTCAACCTACGCGGGCATGTTAGAATGAATATAAAACTATAATCCTTGATCTTCCCCATAACTTCGGTGTTTTCAGTGCAATGGTTAGAGGGACTAAATCTAAAAAGAAGAATTTATATTTTCTTTTTGATTCTCTATATTGTCATTCAACTATCTGGTAAACTCTCAACTTGCCTATTAACCATGGCTATTCTGTGATCACAAGTTGGATTGCATTTTTAATAGGGCTGGACATATGTGATAGTGGGGTTCGATGTATCAATTTGAAATTTTATAAGCCCAACAAACACCAATTAATTGAAAACGAACCCAATGGGCTGCATTATACGTAGTAGGATGAAAGTGTGTTGTGGATCAGTACTCATTTGTCACAGAGGACAATATATGAACCTTTTTTTATGAATATCAAGAATAAGAATGAATAATGCTAGTAATAAAGTAAAATAAAAGGCTTTACACAAAACTAAATACCTTAAATCTTGCTGGATTGCATAATTCAAATATTAAGGCATCGCCAAACTCCAAGTTATGCGCCATAGCAAAACCTCGCCACCCACCACTAAGAGCAAACCTACGAGCAATATACTTCACCTCATACTCCAAACTTCTCTCATCTTCTAATATCATTTTTGTGTCATGAGGTGGGAGGTTCTCCTTGCAGAATGTTCTAGGCATACTCTGAGCATAATAGTAGAAATTTCAGATGTAAGTCCCAGAATTCATTGGTTACAAATGCATCTGTATTTAGTTATCCATTACACTTACAAACCAAAAGGGACCGGAGATGTACGACCAGCCCATTGATTTAATCAACAGTGGTTTGCAAGATTTCAAATTTCTCAGGAATATCTCTGCTCTTTTTTTTGCATGTTCAAGTTGCTCACGGGATGGAGTTCGTGCAGTATATGCCCGAGATTTTTGTTTGCTGTTAGAGTTCCTAATAGAATGTTGATCATAAGGGCACAACAAACATTCATAAAAGTAGATAATTGGACAAATGTGCCATTATTAGATAATACCTTTGATTGTGACTTTTAGTTCCTTTATCGGCAACCTGATACAAATGCTTAAGCACTTCACTATTCAAGCTTGTTTTCAGTGACGAACATAGAAGAAATAGAACTCGACTGCAGAACCATTATATCCATAAAATAAAACTATGAAGAGCATGTAGGTGGAAAAGTCCTGGAGGGACCAGATTTACTATGAGTTCTGTCATTGCATAGTTGTCGAGACATAATCACTCCTTAGTTGAATTACTTACACCTACATATTTCAATTAATCACATCTCTATACTTTGAGATGTGGGATTAGAATTGCACATAAGACTCAACAGCAACTAAACTGGTATTTGACCAAATACGACACAAATAAAAACCTCTAGTTTGGCATGTATCTGAACATGACAATCAGAAATGTAGCCAAAACATTTTTCATTCATCTCCTGCATAAGCTATCTTGCAGATGCTTACATCTATATAACTACTTTGGAGAACCTATCTGTTTGGACAACCTATCTCAGTTTTGCAAATAAAATATTAGGTGGGTTATAAGAGTGCTATTAATTATTTAAGATGCCTAATCGTCTATCATCCACAATATTTGATAGGCATTATTAGTTCCCACAGAGACAATTTGTGAAACCAATTTCTTCTCGTTCTGATAATTTTCCATACTAGTACAGCCATCATTTTCCTGCAAATCTATTTCAAATGAAATTGAATAGAATAATCAATTTAATAGAGATGGAATTACATGAAAGAATTATGAGTACCTTATCAATGTCATATCCTCCCACATTAGCCATGCAAGTGAAAGAAGCAACCCACAATCCAGATACATCATATTTATGCAAGTAAAAAAAAAATTCTAATTTAACATGTAAGATCATCTTTTTATATACCTAGCTTAGATAATTCAACAAATTTGTATGAGTAGACTTGTATTAACTAAGCCAATAGTGTGAGTGTTAAACTAGTAAATAAGTTCCAAATAGTTGGATTTGAAATGCAAGGTAATAACATGAATCTTAAACGCATTAGGAAAAATTATTTAATTGACAGGTGTTTTCATTTCCTAGGCAGAAAATTTGTCAAATTGAAAGATGTGACAGAAGAATCGTACCTCATTTAGCAGTCATGTGGAAAGATATGTACATAAGTAATGCTTGTGAAACACTACCATATACTAGGAAAAAAACAGGAAGAAAGCCTTGCTCGTGATTTTGTGTGCGTGTAGTCAAACAAGCTCTAAATAACACTGACAACCATTACGGCATTAAATAGAAACCATGTATTATTCTTTTTAAGTCGATAATAGATAACGTACGCAACCACAGCCAGCAGAATGTTGATTTCCTTTTGTCAATGAGCAACTCAAATCTGCCTTTTTAAACTTTTCCCTCAACTTAACGCCTTCATTACTTTCCTGTCAAACAAAGAAAGCATTTAATTACTTACCTTTAAGCTCTAACTCCAAATCACATTACACATTAAAGCTAGACATATACATCATTCAAAAATTTCTACTAGACTTCCCAGAGCCTTTCTCTTGGAAACTAAATAGTAGGTACCTGTAGAAATATGCTTGCATGCAGAAAAGGATAGGTATAAAAAAAGAAAATCCACCAGATACTGAACTATTTAAACTGCAGCTTGCAATTAGATGATTAGCTAGAGATTAATCAGCAGAGAATCCAGTTTTCTTTAACCCCTCATAGATGAAGAAGAAAACTAATGTCCACTCAGTTAATCCTTACAAATATGACTGATAGTTACAAAATCATAACCTGCAATCTTGCACAAATTCTGAGTTCTGATGTAGCGGAAGGGATGGTAGAATGATGTCCGAGACTAGGTTCATTCTTTTGAACATAAATTTAAAGAAAATTTTACAGGAAAGAAAATGCACCATGCATGTATCAGCTCACAAGATAGGAGCTGAATTTGGAGGCATAAGTTAGAATATAACCTTATAACCCTCAGTCCTCATCGACCTCGTAACAACTTCGGAAGTCATGAACAGTGAAAGTGATTTGACGAAAGACTATATTATATAGCTGATCATATTTTAATAGATGAGTTTTATCATTTTCTCAAGCAATTCCATCAGGATGCATGATTAATTAATAAGAATGGAGAAACAAAACGCTTTTCATCAAATAAAACTTCCCTGCATCAGGTCAAACATTAATGTTCTTTATCTTTTCCCGTGATATTCATACCTCAAACCTATTGACATCGTACATTAGGTTACTAAAACCAAAATAAATGCGTATAAAACGACTAAATGAAAACAACATAAGAACATGAACGAAAATCAAATTAGTTTCCCAACTCAAAAGTCAGAAAACCTGAAAATTTCGGCAGACCTCCTCCCTTACTTCTTCTACTTTGATTGCTCCTTGACTGATTCCATGTGCCCTCCTTTTCGCAGGAACCGAACTTCTCCTTAAAGAATGGGAATCCTTCTTATCTCCCTCCCAAGCCTCTGCAAGTGATCTCTTCTTGGTAAAACTTCTAAGAGGAATCTCATTTTCCTCATCAACCTCACTTGTATGCACCCTTTCATTCTCATTGCAATGGGTTTTTTCCTCTACATTCCTTTTTACCTTGGAACTGCAATTTTCTTCAGAAACCTTCAATGCCCGAGCCTTGAGGTCTCTATTCTCCTCTGCAAGCTTCACAAGTTTCTCTTTAAGCTCCCTCTCTTTCCTCTCACCAACAATTTTTGATACCCGAGCTTCTAGTTTGTTCTTCCACTGAAGAGCCTCATCCTCTAATTTCTTTTTTCCCAGCTCCATTTCCAAGAGCTTTCCCTTAAAATCTCTATCGTTCTTCTCGAGTTTTTCCATCAAACCCTTTATTGTTTCTCGATCACTTAGCTCTCTCTTTCTGAGGCTTTTGCAGTCTTCCTCAAGCCTGATCACCATTTTGTTGAGTACGAGAGAGATTGCCTTGTGATTTTCGACTTCCTGGTTTGCAACAAACTTCGAGACCTCTGAATATTGTGAGTCGGGATGATTGTCTCTATCTTTTTGCCTTGATAGCTCGCGCTCAAGCTCTGCAATATTGTGTTTAAGATTGATCTCCATGGATTATGTGTTTGGTGGAAGGATTCAAGTTTGGGAGAGAGAGCAGAAGAAGTTGAACGATTTTTTTTTTTTTTTTAACCTGAAGCTGAAGCTGAACGGTTGTAGATCGTGACAGAGGTGGCAACTGGCAGAGACAAAGCGTAGAATTCTTGACACCTGGATTGTGTCACATTTATTAACCGAGTTCAAACTCAGAAAGGCGCGTGTTGTTTGCGCTGTAAATCTATTAAGCCCCCAAACTATTATTTGGATCTATTAAGTCTTTATACTTTTTATTTTGAATCTATTTAGCCCCTATGGTGTTTCTCCATAACTAAAAAAGGATATTTCTGTCTTATTGAATATACTTTTTAGTTATGGGGAAACACCATATGGGCTAAATAGATTCAAAATAAAAAGTATAGGGGCTTAATAGATCCAAATAATAGTCTGGGGGCTTAATAGATTTACGACGCAAACCATAGGGGCCTTTCTGAGTTTGAACTCTTATTAACTGGTAAACATCACGTTACCCCCTTAACTTTGAGGGGGGTTTGCATAAAAGTCCCGAAGGGGTTTGGCACATAAGCCCCGAAACATCGCAGCCCAAAATCAATTTCAACCTCCAATCTTTTTCCTTTCATCTTCTTGATTTCTAAGCAACTTATCCACCTTAACCTTTTGCACTCTCACCTTCTTCAAACAATAAGAAGAATATAACCTAAAATATTTCCATCAAAAGAGCAATAAGCTCTTATATAATGAGTATTATTTGAAAATTCAATATAAATCATCTCAAGCTCATATCTGTGGCCACTCACCTCTTCATCATCTTCATAAGTCTATGATCAAACTCTTCTCATCCTTCCTCTTTTATTACATAAACCATATCAACAAAAACTTGCGCATTCCATCAACACAATCAACAATAACAGTAGCGCATTCATGATCAAAGATCCCAACCTTGTAGAATCAGTTCTTCACTATGCCACCTCAAGCACCACCACCCAATAAACCCTTAACGGGATCGTGGTGTCAGCTTGTAGTCTCATCATGAAAACCCTCATGCAACCATTCAACAAGCCTTCAATGAGATATCAGGTTGGAACTGTGAATAAAGGCTGAAGTGGTGGAAGGGGAAAGAGAAAGTAACTAGATCTTAAGGGAATAAAGACATGGTTATTTGTTATTTGGTAATTATCTATCCATGGTTACCTAATCTAACCATGGTTAAGTGATTTGAGCTAAAAAGTTAACAAGAGGACTAATGTCAACACATTAATATCAAAATATGAATATTTGAGAGACTAATATCAAAACACTTCTAATTTAAGGGACCAATTTCTGAAAACCCAAAGTAATTTCTGTACTTCTTTGATATTACCCCCTTAACTTTAAGGGGGTTTGGCACATAAGCTCCGAAACATCATAGCCCAAAATCCATTTCATCTTCTTGATTTCTAAGCATTTTATCCACCTTAACCTTTTGCACTCTCACCTTCTTCAAACAAGAAGAAGAATATAACCAAAAATATTTCCATCTAAAGAGCAATAAGCTCTTACATAATGAGTATTATCTGAAAATTCAATATAAATCATCTCAAGCTCACATCTGTGGCCACTCACCTCTTCATCATCTTCATAAGTCTATGATCAAACTCTTCTCATCCTTCCTCTTTTATTACATAAACCATATCAATAAAAACTTGCTCATTCCCTCAACACAATCAACAAGAACAGTAGCGCATTCATGATCAAAGATCCCAACCTTGTAGAATCAGTTCTTCACTATGCCCCGCCTCAAGCACCACCACCCAATAAACCCTTAACGGGATCGTGGTGTCAGCTTGTAGTCTCATCATGAAAACCCTCCTACAACCATTCAACAAGCCTTCAATGAGATATCAGGTTGGAACTGTGAATATAGGCTGAAGTGGTGGAAGGGGAAAGAGAAAGTAACTAGATCTTAAGGGAATTAAGATAATGGTTATTTGTTATTTGGTAATTATCTATCCATGGTTACATAATCTAACCATGGTTAAGTGATTTGATCTAAAAAGTTAACAAGAGGACTACTGTTAACACATTAATATCAAAATATGAAGATTTGAGAGACTAATATCAAAACACCTCTAATTTAAGGGACCAATTTCTGAAAACCCAAAGTAATTTCTGTACTTCTTTGATATTATCCCCTTAACTTTGGGGGGTTTGGCACAAAAGTCCCGAAGGGGTTTGGCACATAAGCCCTGAAACATCGCAGCCCAAAATCCATTTCAACACCCTAATCTTCTTCCTTTCATCTTCTTGATTTCTAAGCAACTTATCCACCTTAACCTTTTGCACTCTCACCTTCTTCAAACAAGAAGAAGAATATAACCTAAAATATTTCCCTCAAAAGAGCAATAAGCTCTTACATAAAGAGTATTATCTGAAAATTCAATATAAATCATCTCAAGCTCATATCTGGGGTCACTCACCTCATCATCATCTTCATAAGTCTATGATCAAACTCTTCTCATCCTTCCTCTTTTATTACATAAATCATATCAACAAAAACTTGTTCATTCCCTTAACACAATCAACAATAATAGTAGTGCATTCATGATCAAAGATCCCAACCTTGTAGAATCAGTTCTTCACTATGTCGCCTCAAGCACCACCACCCAATAAACCCTTAACAGGATCATGGTGTTAGCTTGTAGTCTCATCATGAAAACCCTCCTACAACCATTCAACAAGCCTTCAATGAGATATCAGATTGGAATTGTGAATAGAGGCTGAAGTGGTGGAAGGGGAAAGAGAAAGCAACTAGATCTTAAGGGAATTAAGACAATGGTTATTTGTTATTTGGTAATTATCTATCCATGGTTACCTAATCTAACCATGGTTAAGTGATTTGAGCTGAAAAGTTAACAGGAGGACTAATGTCAACACATTAATATCAAAATATGAAGATTTGAGAGACTAATATCCAAACACCTCTAATTTAATGGACTAATTTCTGAAAACCCAAAGTAATTTCTGTACTTCTTTGATATTACCCACTTAACTTTGAGGGGGTTTGGCAAAAAAGTCCTGAAGGGGTTTGCCACATAAGCCCCGAAATATTGCAACCCAAAATCCATTTCAACCCCCAATCTTCTTCCTTTCATCTTCTTGATTTCTAAGCAACTTATCCACCTTAACCTTTTGCACTCTCACATTCTTCAAACAAGAAGAAGAATATAACCTAAAATATTTCCATCAAAAGGGCAATAAGCTCTTACATAATGAGTATTATCTGAAAATTCAATATAAATCATCTCAAGCTCATATCTGTGGCCACACACCTCTTCATCATCTTCATAATTCTATGATCAAACTCTTCTCATCCTTCCTCTTTTATTACATAAACAATATCAACAAGAACTTGCTCATTCCCTCAACACAATCAACAACAACAGTAGTGCATTCATGATCAAAGATCCCAACCTTGTAGAATCAGTTCTTCACTATGCCGCCTCAGGCACCACCACCCAATAAACCCTTAACGGGATCATGGTGTCAGCTTGTAGTCTCATCATGAAAACCCTCCTGCAACCATTCAACAAGCCTTCAATGAGACTTACGCTCTCAGTAAACTACACCTATCAAAACTATAGTAGAAAAATAGAGATTACTATACACTATGCATTGATGTAATATTTTTATATTATAAAATTAGACTCATAATGGAGTCATTTGGAACTAGTTTCATACATTTTGGACATCAATTGTTATACCATCCATTCACCTAAATCTGCTGCATATACACTACTGGTGCTGCTGTGCATGCTAGAGATATTGAATGTAATCATCTAGAGTGTAGCTTATACCATAATATAAGTTTTAAGTTAGAAAATAATAAAAGACATAGTGTTTAGAATCTCATGTGGGTATTGTAGGCATATAAAATTGCTTATAGGTCCCTTAGCACAGCTCGGCACAAACCGACAAACCAACGAGGCGACGAGATCGACAAATCGCACGCGAACAACGGAATGAATCCACCCGCGTGCAGAATCAAGCTAACGAGTTGAGGAATCAACGAGTCATCCAACCGAGAGCGGACTCGGACGAATCGCGATCGAATCAAGATTAGTTTCGGACTCGAACTCATAAGCGGATTTATTGCCAAATCAGGAATCCGACTCACTGCCAAATCAGATCAACAAATCAGAGTCTCAATCAACCGAATCACGGACAGAACCGGAAACAACGGAAAACAACGGAACGAACAACACCCGGAGGGGCTCGGCCGAAACCGAAGATCTGTGCCAAATGCACAGATCTGGTTGCCTATAAATAGGCGGGGTCATTCATCATTTTAGAGGACTTTTTTTGAAGAACTTTTGGAGAGCCGAAACTCTGCCGGATTGAGACCTCATCTTGGAGTTTTTGAAGGCTTGAAGACTTGGACATTCAGATCTGATTCTTGGCGAGCACCCGCATCACAAAAGGCAGGAGTTTGAGGGGATCGAGATCTCAGATCTACGTTGTTACACTCCGGATCAAAGCTTGGTCTTTGATCCCGAGATTCGAGCGATTGTTTCCTTGGTGAAATAATCCCTCCGGCTATTATTTCCTTAGTGAAGTAATACCCGTTATACTGCGTAGATCTGTTCGGATCTAGATCGCGCGGTGGTCTACGGCAAACAACCCCGGCGCAGGCAAACAACCCACGCAAGCGAGTGACCGAATAACAGGAGCTCGCGATTTGTTCACAAGGAGAAAAAGTTGTAATTTTTAATTTTCTTTTTTGATTTTCATTGTAACCGGATCTAAAAAAGACCGGATCTTCTGTAACCGAAAAACTGTTATTCAAGATAGCAATGGAATCAATGAAGAAAGCAACGATTTTCCCCGTGAACAATCTGGCGACCACAGTGGGAGCCACCGATCTCGCTGCCGAGATCGGAGCGTCGCAGCCGCGGATCTCGATCCCGGTCATGGAGGAGGTTGAGTATGAGTTCGACCAGCAGAAGTACGAGGAGTACGTGTCCTCGTCTGGATCAACCTCCCCCCGTAAGTCCAAGAAATTCCAGA